ACATCCAATCCTTCAACTATTAATCCCTTTCATTTCTGATACCCTGCTTTCTCCTAGATCAAGCAGTACTCCTTTTCTCTTACTCTGTTTACTTGTATGTTTCACACAGAAATTTACTGCATTTCCTTCTATACAGTGGGGATTTCCCCCTGAAAGCAGTGAAATGTGAGACAGTTACAATTGACTTTTTTCATGTGTATTTCAAAGGGATATAATCATTAATCTTAGGTGGATTACAGCCATGGTCTAGGACCAAGTCAAACTATATGCTAAACTTAAACTGAATATCTGATAATCAGGTATTACAGTAAAGAAACTCTAATAGTTTAGAATTAGTGAAAGGAGAAAAGAGAGATTTCTCTATAAAGGACTTGGTTGTGGCAGAACACACAGTCATTTAGAATCAAGAGGAAGCACATTATATTGGATTGTACTTTCAGAAGCATATATTTTTTCTAGCTATTACCTCCATTGTCACCAAGTGCCCTATCAGCCAATGACAAAATGAGTAAAAGACAGAAACTGAATTTCTTTTCTATGCCAGAAACATACTTTACAGACTTAAACTCTTTCTAAAACATTATTTTTAATCTCAGGAACATTTATGTACATGTTCTAACAGTTTCTCTTGCATATTAGGAAGGCAAGAGATTCCAAATATAATACAGAAGGAAAGAAACAGAAAAGTTAAAACTACTAGAGAATGCTCTGTGGGATTATCAAGATAGGAAAACTTTGCAGATGTTACTGTCTCTCTAGAGGAATAAATGCATGCATTTTAATATTCTAAGCAGCTGGTTCCTGTTTGAATGCCATCAGGATGATTCAGCCATCTACCAGAAACACCAGTAACAGCAAGTGAACTCATGTAGAGAAATACAAAATCCCTCTGTTTTTAGGAGTTTGCTGCTACTTTCACATTACAAAAGATGTATTAAATTACTACCAATATCACCAAAAGCCAATAATTTGAAAGCAAACAAACAAATCTAATACTTAACGAAAGACAGTGTCTCTTTATGATGAACAACACATTAAACAAACATTATATGAACATCCACACTTTTAGGTATCCTTTACTATTTCTCATTCATTGCTCCCTGTTAGTTTCTGTGCTCAATTTAAGGTCCTGGCATAACTTATTAAATCCTTAATGGTTTAGGACCTTGATATTTGATTGAACGTCTTTCCAGAAAAAAATAGCTATCCATTCCACATGCTCCTTCCAGTCCTTGATGTTAAGACCTATAACACTTAAGAGGCCAATAAAGTCAACACGAGGAACCAAACTTTCTCAATTGTGCCCCCTTTCCCCTGGAACAAGCTTCCTACAAAGGTTCACCAGACATAATCCCTCTCTGATTTCAGAAAGCTAATTAAAGCTGAATTATATAAAGCTGCATTCTACTAGTGCAAATTTGTCCTGAGATGTCCAAACGGCTTCTAATATGTGTATTTTTAATTTAAAAGTAGTTTCAATTAGTCATAACGTTTATTTGTATTTTATTATATTATTTACATTCATTGCATCTTTTCTTTTTCTTTTTGTCTTTTAAATAAGTTTTAGCAATTCTGAAATTTAAGCAGGCAGGTTAGTACCAGGTAGTTTGATGATTCCTAATGCCCAAACCAAATGCATCTGGCAGTTTCCAAGCAGAGTACATGTAACCCAGGCTACATTTTCATCTTGTTTTAGTTTATTTCTACTTGCATTGTAGTTTTAAGTCACTGTGGGTGCTTTAGCAGAGAGATGACGCTTAAATATTGGAAAGAAGTAGGAGTAATATGCCATGTTAAACTTCAAACAATACAACTAACACTCTAATTCACTTCTAGCTGTTTTGTACTTCTATTTAAGTATATTTAATTCATTGTCAATCCCAACTGTGATCAAAACCTGGCAGTAGCAAACATAATAAGCCTAACAAGAGACCAACAGTTTCCTATAAGGAACAAGGCAGGTATCGGAGATTCTTTTTTTTTAAAATGCCATCCACAACTCTGATTTATTTTAAAACAAGGAATATTCCTAGAAATGCAGCTGCTATGAATATCTAATTACAGGAAAAATTGTGCAAAGCTACTTGGTCATGCACTATTATGCATACAATACTACTATGTAAGTAAGTACATGATCCTCACAGAAAAATAACAGTGTTAATCTAGTAACCACATTTAATAACTGCTGTTTTGTGCACCACAGCTCTAACTTTTTAACTTGGTTAAAATGGAACACCATGGTTAAAGAACAGAGCATGTGACCCATGCATGCTTCAGTCTGTTATATATTTGAAATCTTATATGATTAAGCTATCTTTGCAATTACCAGTATTTGGAAGGTTTCAGAAAAATATAGAATTAGAATGAAAACAGTTTAGAAAAGCTTTGTATTTTTTAAAAAAACTTACTAATATTTGCCACTGTAAAAACTGTTCAAGTGGCTGGAATTCCACCCTAATATTGATAGGATGGGTTTTTAGCACATCTTCAATTTTATAGGGTCAACTCAAGGCTTGTCTGCACTGTTATTACAAAAATGTATGATAACAAAATATATATATATATGGCCGAATGAGACAAAGGAGGTAAAGATGGCCATAATTGGTTTGGTATCTGTGTGGGATTTTTGATGGACAAATCTGTTGATCATTTAACTTTATTATTAGAACCATAGGTCAGCATTCTGTTATAATACTCTTGTTAAAGATTTTATATATAAAGATTATACACACACACACACATTCAGTGGTGCCTCGCATTACGACGTTAATTCGTTCCAGCGAAATCGCTGTAGAATGAAAATGTTGTAATGCGAAAAGAAAAAGCCCATTGAAACGCATTAAAACTCATTTAATACGTTCCAAAGGGCTTGAAACTCACCGTCCAGCGAAGATCCTCCATAGGGCGGCCATTTTCGGTGCCTGTAATGCGAGGAATCCGTCCCAGAAAACAGCGGGAGGGGGGCATTTTGTTTACCCGGTGGCCATTTTGAAACCGCTGATCAGCTGTTGGAAAATTATCGTTTTGCGAAGAATCGGTTCCCGAAGCAGGGAACCGATCATTGCAAAGCGAAATTCCCCCATAGGAAACATCGTTTTGCGATCTCAAAAGCGATTGCAAAAACTTCGTTGAATGTGATTTCGTCGTTAAATGGGGCAATCGTAAAGCGAGGCACCACTCTGTGTGTGTGTGTGTGTGTATAATCTTTAACAATTACAAATTATGACAAGAGCAATATATATAACTATTCTTGGTTCACTGAACAGTCCAAATAATAATAATAAATTTAAAAAAAATTCAAAATGCCATTGCTTTGATTGTAAGGTGCCAATTGTTTGCTTTATCTGACTTACGTCCTCTTGAGGTAGTTCAAACCAAATTTTTGACATCTATTCTGACTGTACCTCCATGTACACCTAATGTAGCCCTTCGTTTGGAGGCTAGCCTAATCGCCATAAGAGCACGCGTCAAAGTCCACATGTTTAATTACTGGCTAAAGCTTCTCTTCTCTTCAGAAGGCTTGGCACAGATGTCACATTTGACTCCTTTCAATCAGAATGGAAACTACAACTTACTAAAGAAATAAGGCAAATGGGCTTTTCCACCAATGCTCTTTTGGCGATGGGGCATGTCGATGCTAAAGGGACACTCAAACAAAGAACTTGGGATATAGAACTTCAAGAGCATATGAGTGAGTCAGGCAAATACAGTGTTGTTACTAATACAGAAATGCCTTTACAATATCTTCATAACCAACCTCCTGAGCCCAATCATTCTCAGATATCCAGGGAGACCTGATGAATTTTACATCAAGCTACTTCTTTCCAATCAACACTCCCTTATGACATGCTCTGCAGCAAAATTTTGTGCAGCAGCAATGGCACAGCGTTCCCTTATAGTCTTCTGAGTTCATAGGTTGACTGGTTTTAGCATGAGGGAGATTTATTGTCAAGCGTAGAGAAATGTTCTGGTCCCAACCGAAGGGAGGAAATATTTACAGATCTTTACAAATCTGTAGGAAGGACTTCTTATAACCCAAAGACCCTGTCCAAACCAGTTTGCCCTCGACGATCCAATGGTTCAAAGGATAGCTATAAAATGCTGTATTTGATTCTCCCCATATTTTACAACCAGTACACAATTACTTGCTGTACAATTTTTAAATTACATTTTGTATATTTTAACTATATAATATGTTTATGAAGTGGCTGTACACTTTTTAATTGCATATTTTATATTTTAACCACATAATATGTTTTATGAACTGATTGTACATTTTTAAACAGCATTTTGTATATTTTAGCCATAAATATGTTTTATGAGCTGGTCACCCAATCGTAATAAATAAATTCAAATAGATTGTAAGGTAAGTTAAGTAAATGCAAGGACAGACTTCAGTTCCTTTTCTTGTGCCCCAAATCCTCTCCAGAAACAAGGACTTCATTCTCAATCATATGGAATTAAAAGAGCTGCTACATGAGATAACCACAAAGGATACATCCATTATATGTGTTCTGTGAAGTCAATCCTGGCTTTCCTGCACAAGTTATATGATACAATATTTCCTATATATGACTATTGAAATACCGTATGGGACTTGCATGTGGGTTACCATTTACTTCCTTACAAATGGAAATGCATTTCTACATAAGCATTTCACCATGAATCCGCATGGATTCAAACGCCTTACTTTTTTCCTTTAAAGTGTACCATACAGAACAGCTTCAGGTATTCAGATGAAATTCACATTTTAAATAGCACCCCATGCCAATCATCTGACATCTTTTTTTGGCCAACTGATCTTCACATGTTAAAGCAAAAGAAATAGTACTAAGTTAACTATATGGAATATTATTATCTATGCCCACTATACTATGGAATGCTAGAAGAAACATTACCAGCTTTATTTTGTTGGTTTAAGAAGAAATAAGTGACAACGAACACAGGAGACAAAGCTGCGAAAATAAAGGAAAATTATTGATGCATTAAAGTCAACTTACATTTGAAGAAGCAATGTGGCCTTATGATTTATCAAGCACTCAGGATGCAAAATTTGCAAAATCTGCTTTGCGACTCTTATGTAGAATTGGTCGACATGAACCATCAACAAACTTGTCTGAAGATACTTGTTGGTCTGTAAAATACAATTCATTCATCCATTTAGTTATATGCTACTTTCTGTCTGTTTACACAACACCCAAACTGTTTACTACAAGCAAGCATCTGACAGTAAAAATTATGGCAGATCTACAGTAACAAAACAGATAGTAGAAAAAAAAATCCATAGTTAAAAACAACATTATAAGTAATAACAAAACACATCAGCATTTTGAAAATGCCATTTTCCCACTTGACTACAGAAACGGATGATAAAAGAGCCTGACATATTTCAATAAGGAAAACATTTCATGGCAAAAGTGCTATATGGCTACCCTTTGTAATTCTTAGATCAAAAAAGGGTACAGTATATGCAAAGTGAAACTTCCACAAATCTCTTAAGGCACACAGATGTGTATGGTAATAAGAGGTGCTCTTCATAAGTGCAGCAGGATGTGGGCTGGTTAACGTTCAAAGGGTTCCTTCCATCTCATATAGAAGAGCTAGAACCAAGCAAGCATTTTAGTGTGCACTAAGACAGGAGCATAATGTGACACAACTCTGCATTCTGCCCCACAGGTTTTGAACAATCTGCAGAGGTAATCCTACATACAGTAAGTTGAAATAACTCGTTGGGAAACTGGAGGACTGTCAAAAACCGTATCCAATATCAGTTACTACAGGTAGCTTTCAGTCTAAGCTTAGTTGTTGCTTTTAAATCTCAAGATTCTACTAATGAGAATCTTGATCAACAACAGTCTAGAAACAAGCACTACAAACCTAGCAAAACAAGCAAAATCACAAGTCTGTGCTGTTCTCATTACCGGTAATCTTACTGACTTTATTATCAAAAGGTCCTCTTGAGGGGAAAGGTGAGATATAACTATTTTAACTAACTAACTGACTGACTAAGTTCTATCTTGTCTTCATAAAACTTTAGTTTTCAGCCTTTGCCTAGCTACAACTGCATTTGAGCACTTGATCAATTGTCCAGTGTGCTTCTCATTCTGATGGAATAAAAAAGAACTGAGTGACACTGGAATACTGATAACAATATACTCGAAATTGGTAAAAAATATTCCACCAGCTACACAGAAATGTTCAAAAGCAAATGATGCTGCTAATAGCAGAATGACAATAAGGCTTATAATGTGTGGCTAAGGAACCTCTGATTCATAAGGTAGGATAAAGCTCCTTTAATACACTTCACTGGCCATGCTGACTGGGGTTTCTGGGAGTCTTAAATCCAAAAGAATAAAAGGGTTAATTTTAATCAAACAAATGGTTAATTTTCATCAAACATTGGTGTGACTTGCAGATACTACTATAATAGTGAATACTGCAGGTGGTACTATAATAGTGAATATTACTGGTAATTACAGAAAAGTCTTAAAGATGTAAAAAGTGTGTGTGTGTGTGTGTGTGTGTGTGTTTGATCTACAGTCACTAGTACGCTTCAGTTAAATGCTGCCAACTCGAGTGGAAGCAGCAGTGTTTTAAACCACTGGTTCTTAACCTTGGGTTACTCAGGAGTTTTGGACTGCAACTCTCAGAAGCCTTCACCACCAGCTGTCCTGACTGGGGTTTCTGGGAGTTGCAGTTCAAAAGCATCCAAGTAACAAAGGTTAAGAACCACTGTTTTAAACAATGTCCCAGCCATATTCACTCTAAGTTTACATAGAAAACCCAAGTTTCTTCAGAAAGCACATACAGAAGCAAAAGAAATGTTATAGATTTGTGTTCCTAGTTTGAATAATACTTCATCCTACTGAAACAAGAGTAGTTTGAAACATTACACTGGTGAAAAGTTTTCATGTTTGCTTCATAAATATAATACATAAATACAAGTAGCATATATGCAAATCTGTTGCCATATATAATCTAGCTACATTTACTGAAGACCTGCTTACTGAAGTAACAGCATGGGGTTTGTTATCATGTATAGTGCAAGCAAATGTTCCAGTTCACAGCAATTCTATGTATCTTCCTGGCAGGTAATTCTCAGGTAGACCTTTTCAGTAGTGGCATCACAACTAGGGAACTGCCTTGTGAGACACATTCACCTATGATATTTCTAGTACTTGGTACAGACTTTGCTATTCACACTGTCTTTTAGAACAGTGGTTCTTAACCTTTTTGAAAGAAACGCCCCTTGAGCCATTGAGGAAATTATCATCGCCCCCCTCCCCACGGTGATGATATCTTATTTATTTATTTATTTATTTATTTATTTATTTGTTTGTTTGTTTATGACACATAAATCCAATGACCCCTGAAAACAAAATTCAATTCCAAGAAAATGAAATGCTCCAGCGTCCCCTTACCGCCCCCCTTCTGCTCCGGCGCCCCCACTCCGCCCCTTTTCGTTCTACCACCCCCCTGAAAAATGAAATTGCCCCCTGGGGGGCATTATAGCCCACGTTAAGAACCACTGTTTTAGAAGACTTCCGGCTTGAGAAGAGGGACGTTTGTGCTGAGCTCCACTCCCTTTTAATTTTAATCACCATTATATTACTATTTATATTATTTTTTATCTATTTTAACCTTCAAGTTTTGTAATTAGTCTTATAAACAAGCTTCGTAGTTGTTACTGTTGGTGACAGATTCCCTGCAGTTGGAGTTTTGCTCCCTTGTGAAGGCAGAGTGCCGATAAGGCCAGACAGCTTTGTGGATATTTGGTGGATTTATCAGCTTGGTCTTTATCTAGAAGAGCTGTTAACACCAGCAAACAACTGAGGACTATAAAAATTCTGGCCTTCGGAAGGAAACAGACAGTGTGGGCATCGCAGCGGACTCACTGCCTTTTGTCAGCTCCTTCCAGAAGGAAGGAGAGGGAGAGAGAAAAGATGAGAGCTTTGCTGACCTGGAGGGGTGTTGCTGCTGTTTCCAACTTAGTTTGGCCCTGCGTCATTGCCTTGGTAACTCTTCAAGTTACCGAGTAGATTGAACTGTTTGCCCCCTTTCTTTGCCTTTACAAATTTGATGCCTAGACCCAAAGGTTTCATTAGGAGGAACTCTGTCACAGCACTCCCGGCCCTACTATTAGGGCCCACTCCCATGGAAGAACCAGAAGATATTCTGGATTTCACGTTAATGACCCCTGTGTGCAATCTATTCAAAATGAACTGCTACCATGCATTGTTCCAATTTCAGAACTTAAAGAATCAGGAGCTGTTGTGCTAACGTCCTTGTGTCAGGAGCTGTTCAGAACTCCTGACAAGGTTGGTTTATTCCCCCTCCCCCCCCCGGATAACAACCCAGATGGGATCATTAGGGTGGTTGAGAAGGTGGGAGGTGACACAACAAAGAAACACTGGAAACAAATTAAGATTACCAACTTTGTTAAATCAGGGAGCAACATACTCATAGAGTGGACCATAAGGAGTCTGATTACTTTAGGAAGTCAAGTAGCTCCATAACTGACTTGCCAGGCAGTGTTGCTGATAATTCTCAGATGCTGGACACCATATACCTACAGTGGACCCTTGACTTACAGACGGCTTGACTTACAGACTTTTTGAGTTACAGACTTCTCTGGCCGCAAAATTTAGATTTGACTTGCAGACTGAGATTTGACTTACAGACCAGAAAAAAACCAAAATGGAACAAAAATGGCCTGTTACGGGATTAATCGGTTTTCAATGCACTGTAGCTCAATGGAGACTTGACCTACAGACTTTTTGACCTGCAGCCACCGTTCCAATACGGATTAATTCTGTAAGTCAAGGGTCCACTGTATCTAGTAAACTGGATGTGGATCATGGTCGTATGAGATCACTAGACTTAAGCCCCTTACCAGATGCTTTTCTAGGTGAAAGAGCCCTGTTGGATGCATCAAAGAGCCCAAGGAATACTGGAAAGAATTACACCCTGGTAGAAGCCACTGAGGCGGAGAAAGCCCAGAAAAATCCAGATTAGCCCATCCTAGCGAGAGGGTTATACAACAATACCTCCACAAGAGATGATCCCTATGCTCATAACCAGACCCAATTATCAGAAATCAGGGATTTTTTATTTGACATCAAAGAATTTATGATAGTCATGACAGGCTACCTGATGAAAACACAACAGCTTCCTCTAGCGGAAAGTGAACTCCTGCGGAGGCAAAGAAAGGAAAACTCCACACAAGAGCTTGACACAGACTACCACAATCTGTCACGGAGCACTGTCTCTTATATACTTCATGTAAACTGGGCCTCTTGCATTTAAAACCAACAAGTTACACATGTTGAAGAGCAGTTGAGTTTTGAGTTTCTTATCTTTTAAACTACTCTTTTATTGTAAGGTTTATAATTCTGTTTGATTTTTAATCTTTATTGTAAGCATAGTAAAGCTATGGGGCAACATACAAATATCATAAACAGACAGTTTTGAAGATCACACAATCTAGGTTCTGGTCCAAACTGATTCATCGACTTCCTCAAAACAGCGTGCAGTATGCTTGCAGGTTACAAACTTCATCTATTTATAAGGCTTTCAACACTGGAAATCAAGGGATTTTTTGTTTTGTTTTTGGTGGGGCTGACCATAAGTAGACATATTAGTACTCAGTGACATTCTAGTTCTCCCACCCATTTTAATGCACGTCCAAATTTTTAATACACATTGCAATTTGTAGCATTAGTCCCTGGACCTCCTATTGATAATGAGTGTTCTGAAGCATATGAAGGCGTAACATTTCAGAGAACATTAAGAGTCCAACATAGTGGGACAAACTACTTCATGTATGGAGATCCCATTGCTTTTTCCATTTGTTCTTAAATACATTCGAAACACTGTAGGTGGCAAAGGGAGGGGAGCAAGCAGAAAAGAGGATCTGAAGAAGAAAAAGATACTGGTTCAGAAAAGATTAAGTATCCTCTCTCCTGTTACTATTTCTCTACTCAGAATTCCAAAATTTTTAAACTCCCTTGCACCTAATTTGGAATTGTCTTAGAAGTGAAGAATATGTTTGCAATGATTTTCTAATGCACAAAAGTTTATATATTACATAATTAACCCAGAAAAACTGAGATCATCTTGCTGGATAGCTAAAAT